AATCACTACTACCGGCGGTGATGGTGGTGTGAAGTGGTTGAAGTAGCAAAATAAGAAAGAAATGGCAAAGGAAGAAGATGTACCCACTTATTGAGCTTCTAAGCAACAAGACAACAACAACCCACCCTTCCCTTTCATTCTCATTCTCTCTATTTCTCCTATGATGGTCCGGTGGCGGCTGAACTCCGACAAGAAGAGGTACAAGTCGATGTTGGTTTTAAGAAGAAAATGAAAGAAAGGAGGCATACCACTTCCAAGCCTTATAGGAAACTAACAATACCCTTATTTTCTTCCCCTGTCGTTCTCCGACGGCTTGTGGCGGTTCTCAGGCGACTCCGACGGTAGCAGCTCCGGGCGGTGGAAGTGTGCATTTGCTTGAAAGAGTACTTGAATGGTATGTAACAAATAAAAAATGTTCACCACTTGTAGGTTAAATTACTAGAGTTTGAACAAGAAATATACAAACAATGAATGATTAATAAACGACTACCATAAATAATCAAATCAACAACGCCACTGACGACGATGCCTATTTGCGATTACAAATGTTATGTTTCATGTTTTTATGTTTGAACTAGTTTATAACCCGTGAGAACCACGATTATAAAATTAATTAAATTGTCATATTAAAAAATCAAAATTATTAATAAATTATTTTAAAGAAATTATTACTTAAGAGATTATTTTTTAGTGATATAAAATTTAATCGTGATTTAATAAATACGTGAAGTTATATCACTTTATAATCTGTATTAATTTTATTTTATTTTTTAATCTAATGTTATTAATTCAATATAATTAGAGTGAAAAAATTTAAAATTTAAAATGAAAAATCAATTATTAATTTAATGTATTTAGAGTGGAGAATTTAAAATTGATAATTAATAGGTTGACAAGTGGCATTAGGTGACATATAATATTAATAAGAAGTTCTAATAGTATGACACTTATCAATAGAAAAATAAACCTATTCATTTATTAGGATAGGGAGATATGTAAATACTTGTTTCATATCAAAGAGCTTTTAGCCTAACGGTATCGGGTGTTGCCCTCCCTCTTAGAGGTTGAAGGTTCAACTCCGGTCGTGAACATATGTGGATTAAGGAGTAGTTTTGGAGTAGATTAGATTACCGTTTAAAAAAAACATACTTGGTTCATGTTATATGCATTTTACAAAATCAAAAATTTTATAAAAATTTGAACTTTTATGTTTATGTCTTTTTGTTTTTTTTTTTTTCAAAAGCGATTTTGCCAAATCCGGTCCGGTACGAATAAAATGTAGGAAGATATTTAATTTCTCTTTTTTGGGGAGAAATTAAAAATTCTGCTACATTTTATTCCTACTATCTTCCTACCCACATTAAATGGTGACAAATAGACTAAAATATTATCAATTTCATTAAATGTGTCATTAAATCTGACACATGTCAACATCTGATATGGTAGGAAGATAAGTATGAATGAAATCTAAGAAGATATTTAATTTCTCTTTTTTGGGGAGAAATAAAAAATTCTCATACATTTTATTCCTACTATTTTTCTATCCACATGAAATGGTGATAGATGGACTAAAATATTATCAATTTCATTAAATTTATCATCAAATCTGACACATTTCAACATCTACTACGGTAGGCAGGAGGATAAGTAAAAATAAAATGTAAGAAATTTTTTTTTTTGGATTTGAACACGTGTAAATCAATCAATCCACTTCTTTCTTAAAACGGTTTTGACCATATTAACTTAAATTGAACCGGCTTTCGAAAAAAAAAAACGACTGGTAGCCCATTAGGCCCAATAATCATCAATTAAAATTTAGGCTCGCAGATTCAAAATTAGGCTCGGGTTCTGCTTCGATTTCTAGCACCTGCTCTCTTCTACAGTACATCTAGTTGATTGTATATACTGTGTATGAGAGAGAGAGAGAGACCGTGTGAAGTGTAAGTGTGTGTGAGGGGGGGACTTGAAGCCTGAAGGTTGATGTTACGGATTAGGGTTTTCAGTGTTCAAGATCATGGAAGGTGGCTTCGTCTTTGAGGGTATGTGCTAGCTCATTTGGTCTATTTATTCATCAATCTGACTATTTTCATTTGTAAAGAAAAAGATTTTATGCCCTTGCAAAATCGAACATTTGATTTTTACGAAATGCGATCTCAAACCCCATGTTTCCATTTGGGATTCCAGGGTTTTCTTCGTAAAATTCAACGGCCAATACTGATTTCCAATGCGAACTAGGGTTTCATTTTGTTGAATCTACTTGAACTATTAGTCCTTCCTTTTAAACTCGCCAACATTCCTCAATTTTCAAAAATTTCAAGATATTTACACAAATTTACAGATATAAAATTACTAAAACTTTTCTTGCGTTTTCCCATTATTTAGGGACACATTTAAGATAACGCCAGCTCTAATAGCTACATCGAATTCCAGGTTTTTGTTTAAAATTTAGACTTCGGTTGCTTGTCTGAACTAGTTACATAAATTTCCATAAGTAGTGAAAAGATCAATATTGCTCGTATTAGATGACAAAGGCTAAGATATTACATAGTCTCCCCCAAAAGATGCACAGGTTTAGAGTTAGTGCTATTCTGAAGTTCTAGTTTTTTGTGTACCCCTTCTACCTTGATACTTTTCTTAAATGTTAAAATATTTACAGATTAGAAGGCTTAATATTCTGCTCATTTTATTGTAAACCTTCATGACAAACTAGATAAGCGTAAACTAGAGAAAATGGCAAAAGATTCTACTGGAGCTTCAGGGAGGAAAATGCTTGCTGACATAAGCAACATTCAACAGAAACATAACACTTTGACACAAGATAAAAAGTCTCTTCCAAATTCAGCTATTGTGAAAGAAAAATTTATAGAACAGCTCCAAAAGGTACTCACTTTTCCTATTCTGGGACTTCTCAAACATGAAAGATGAATGTCACCTTGGTTTTGTGGTTTCTCTCATGTTTAAATGATGCTTACATGATTCTATGTTAATATAATCCAGGAAAATGCAGCACTCAAGAAACACTTAGCAGAAAAAAGGTATCCTTCATTCCTTATATTAGTGACTTTATAAAAGGGTAAAATTCACTCTTATCCATGGTTATGTGGCATTGTTGTGGCTTGACCATGAAGCCTCATTTATGGTTGTAGAAAATTACCAAACTAACCTTTACTGACTCTAACATGGATACACAACATTCCTTAATATTGTTGCAGTAGAATTATTGATCTCAGTGGAACTGAATTACACAAACTGAGGGTTACTTTACAAAAGATGCAACAACAGAATTTACAGCTTGCTCAGTCAAATAGTCAACTGCTAGCGGTTTGTTTGACTGTTTCCTTGACATTAATCTTTTCAATTTTCCATTATTTTCAATTTAGTAACATATTTCATCAACTTTTGCAGGAAGTAAATTCTGGGAAAGATAGGGTAAGTAAATCTCATTCTTCATACAGTTATATGGTAAATAGTTTCTTTATGATTAATTGATGATATTGAAATTTGAAAACCCTTTTTTGTTTCTGTTTTGTTTTTTAGCTAAAAGACATGCAACATCAACTTGGATGCAAAAATGGTGTTCTTATAGCAAAACAAATGGAGTTAGAGGTTAGTTTTATGATCTTTCTTCATTAGCAAACATAACATGCTTAGTGTCAACAACCTAATGCTGCTTTTTTTTTTTTTTATCTCAGGGAAAAAGGAAAACCAAAACATGTCAAACAAATGATGTTAAGGTTAGTTTTTAATTCTCATGAGTAACTTTATAAAGGCCTCATGGATTAAAATTACTTAAATATTTGTGTATTCACTTGTAGAAGGTGAAAGTATCTGAGAATGAGGAGAAAGGTGTCTGTTTAGATAAAGATGAGCATTGTAATACAAAAAGAAGGCAGAAATCCAAAAGTGAGTTTAATTTATGTTGTTTTTATTAATTTATATCAATTGGAATCTGAAAATTAAGTTATTCTTGTTCATATGTGATTTTAGGTTTAGGTCCTTCTGTTAGAAATGGACAAGATAAGGGTGTGGGTGACAATGGAAGGTTTGTGGAAATATGTTCTTTTTTGATTTTTGAATACTCTTTTTTGTTTATTACATGATCAATTATCAAATTCTTTTTATTTATTTGTTTATTACCTCAACCACTTCTATTTCTTCTTAATACAAACTTAATTTAACTTCTATTAATCAATTAAAAATATAGAATTTGAAAGTAGAATGCTATATTTGGGTAGATTTCTCAAAATACAATGCCTTAATAAGATAAAAAAGTGAATGTACAATGCTATAAATAGTAATAGAAAGAAAGAAAAATAGGTCATTTAAATACAAGGGTTACATAATTGTACTTTGAAAAATCTACCCAAATAGGTCATTTAAATACAAGGGTTAATTTCAATAAAGACCTTATATTTTGTGTTTTTTTCAGATTAAACGTCAATTTTTTTTTCCTGAAAAGACCTTGTATTTTTTCATTTTCTCCAAAAAAATTGTAAAATGTGAGGGTTTTTTCAGGAAAAACTAAAAAAGTTGGGGGTTTATTTGGAAGCATTTAGAAAGTTGAGGGTTTTTTTCGGAAAAAAATACAAAGTTGAGGGCTTTTTCCGAAAAAATGAAAAAATACAAAGTCTTTTTCAGCCAAAGGTTTAATCCGGAAAAAATACAAAGTATAAGGTCTTTTTTTGAAATTAACCCTAAATACAGAACAAAGAGTAAATTACACGAATGGTCCTTATGGTTTGGGGTAATTTGCATGATTAATCCCGAACTTATTTTTTTAACTCGGAAGGTCCCTACTGTTTGTTTTTGTTGCGCATTTGGTCCTTGTCTTGCCTAAAAAGACAATTTTGCCCTTGATTTTTTAATTTATTTAAATAAAGTGGGGTAGGGGGTGTATTTATTTAAATAAATTAAAAATTCAAGGGCAAAATAGTATTTTTAGGTAAGACAAGGACCAAGTGTGCAACAAAAACAAACTGTAGGGACCTTCCGAGTTAAAAAAATAAGTTAGGGACCAAAACGTGCAAATTACCCCAAACCATAGGGACCATTCATGTAATTTACTCCAAAACAAAACTGGCTGCTATAAGAAAGTTTATTTGTAAAATTCCAAAAGTAGAATGCTATATATGGTTAAATTTCTCAATCTTAAGTAGGAGGCAATCTGCAAGGTTTATTAAGAGAGAAGAAGAGAAAGCAACAGAAGACTTATTTGATACAGACAATATGGATCTTAAAGAGGAGGAAGACAGAATGCAAGAGGATAATCATAATAATGATTCAAATTGTGTGATTTTGATTAAAAAAGAAGAGGAAAGTAGAAGAAGAAGATGTTCTATTAGTTCAAGGCCTTCACGTGAAGCAGTTAAAAAGATTCAGTCTTACAAGGAAATGAGCATTAATGTTAAAATGCGTAGGACTGAATGACTGAATACATTCAGATGTATGTTCATGTTGTTATATCTACACTCTTTTGCTTATTAAGTGCATTTCTAGATTTTTTTGAGGATTGAAATCTGTAGAATGATACATGATTAGCTTTGATTTGTGTTCGTCTAAAGTTGTTTTTTTTTTTTTTTTTTTTGGTTTGAATCTGGTTTAGTGGTTGTAAAAAGCAATTAAAATAGCAATTGAATACATGGTCTAATTGAAGTCAAAATCTTCATGTGCACAAATTGGAACTTTCATTCGATTAGACAAAAGTCAGATTGGTTTGATACCATATTTTTCACGTTGATAAATTCACGTTGATTGGTGATTTTAATCAAATTGATAAATTCACGTTGTTGATTTGAAATGGGACAATATTTAAGATGTTTTTCTATGGGTTGGAACAATATTTTTCTATCTTTAACAAAAAAAACGTGAATTATGTTTCTTGGCTATTTGGGATTTATCATTTAAGGAGTCGAAATGCCTCCTCCAAATCTCTTATGGATAATAATTTTGAACAAGTGGTTAATATATTTATGGTTTTCAAAACTGCAGTGGACTGAGTGATTCGAAAAAAATTGGTTTTTTAGTGTTTATTCAAGAAAAAAAAAAGTTAAATATGAAGTCTAAATATTTAGAATTTAAATAATTTAAATGAATACAAATGTAATAATTGGGCTTTAATTTAGAATTTTTGAAATTAGAAAGAAAATTGTATTAATGAAATTTGCTATACATTTATTACAATTATTATATTTAAATAGTATGTGAAATTTAATAAAATAAAAAGATAACCATAAAATGACATGTGGAAAAAATATAATTTAAAATAACCATAAAATAATATATGACAAAATGAATGATAATATAACATGTGGAAAAAAGGATTGTTATTATTATTGTTATTATTATTATTTTTTTTTCGAGTTTGCTAACAAAGTACCAACATTTTGTTCTTTGTTTTTGAATCAAGGTAATTGAATAAACCAATAAAAAAAGAGAGCTTGTATGAAATGTGTTTCAATTTTTTTTTTCTATGAATTTTGCATTCTTTAGTTTTAAAATTAGTTATGATGTAATAATTATGTCATCTAATTTTTTTAACCCAAAACATTGGATAAAACCAAATGAGCGAATATATATTTGAGAAACGATATTATACATGTTTTTGGTCAAATTTCGATAGCTAAAATGTTAAAGCTGGTTTTGATGAATTGGTTGGTTTTAGGTTTTTTTTGTCCATCTCTATCAAAATCGATGTTTAAATTTCTTTGCAGGCTCAAAATCTCTAGTTCTCACAAGACCATAGGATTAAAAATTACTATACTTTACCCCCAATTTATAATAGCAAAATTATTTAGAAATTTAAGTGAATAAACAATTAATTAAAATGTAATGGAAACCGTTAAAAGCTTTATAGAAGATTTGGTTATTTGAATATTGGATGTAAAGTCCTTCCTAACCCCACAAATATTCTAGTCTTGACATTTTCTTTCATTTTGTTGTTTTTAGTTGAAAGGTGCAATAACAATTAGTCATCTATGCAAAACAACAAATGCTATGTTGTCTAGCAATTACAGCTGTACATGGTTTTGTGCGTGTGTATTCATTTCTGATGATTCTGACTTATTTAATTTGTGTAGAAAAAAGAAAAGATAAAGAATTATATTATGGTTTTATATTTTCCTAAATTCGATATTCATTGTTGACAAACTCATAATCATATTTAACTAGATTGTATATCTCATCACAATATTTACTAATTGATTATTTATTTAGTTAATATTATTAAAAAAACAAAATCATATAATCTATATATATGAAACTTTTTACATTGGATAAATGATTTAAATACATTTTATATTTATTTTGTTATTTATGTATAGTTGCATTTTCTTTTTATCCATAGTCAGCTGCCTTTTACTTTCTGCGTAAATATGTAAGCTATCATTGAGTCCCAAACTTTTAGCCACCTCACGCTTCAAGAATTATAAGCAATACAATATGATGCCAATTCACATATGTATCCTTTTATATATGATTTCAAAAACCCAATCTTATAAAGTAATTAAAATGGTCTTTTTTGTCCGACCATAAACCAATGTTTTAAAAACCGGTTCTAATTGGTTGGACCAGAAACCGGAGATGAGAGCGGTTTAATAACGACTAGTTTTATGTTAATTTCTAGAATTGATCGAACTGGAAAGGTTTCTTCAAAAACTGGGTTGAACCAACGTGTAGAACCGGTTTATTGGACTTGGATAGTTGGATTCATTTAGCTCGTTAAAAACAATTCATTTCCAAAACAAATTGAATAGCTTGATCGATCAAGTTATCTGGAGTGTACACAAATCAAAGGCTGATGACGCACACTACTACCAGACACAACTTCGACACATCCCATACACCAGTGGAATACTGAATACCGATATTTTTAACTTGAAGATCGATACTTCTAAACTATTATGTCTTTGACTTTATAATATAAATCATTATGATAAGGATTTTTATTTGTGGATGCCAAATTCTTGGTTTTATGTGAATATGTTATGTAGGAAAATTTAAAAAATATAAAAATTATGGAACCGGTTGAACCGACGGTCAATCTGGTTAAATCGGAAACTGATTTCAACTAAAAAAACCAGTTTTTAAAATTGTGCAAATCAATATAAGATTTAATTAAATTCATATAATTCATATGTTTAGGCAAACTAGACTTTTATAACTTGTATTATTACGAATAATGACAAAATTATGCGGAACAAATATAGTTATATTACATGCAAATGCTTAAGCATCTGAAGAAATCGAACAATATCAGATTGAGATGTAAGAGTAGAGTTTTTCAGGTAGAAATAACTTTCTGAGAAGATCTCATGACTTCACCCGAGCCCGGTGGATATTAGACGACGGATTCATTCTTTTGGAGGGTCAAATTCATGATTTTTCAGTTTTTCAACATATTTTTTGTTTTTTAAAAGTTTTGGGCCTTTTCGTAATTTCTTACTTTATGCCCGGCTAGAGTTTTACTATTTAAGGATTCATTGGTTGTTTCTTTAAAAGCAAAATTTTGATCATTAATAAAAGAGAAATTTCAGAAAAGTCTCAATATTTTCGAAAAAGTTTCACTTTATCCCTAAAGAAAAGTTTAAAGATAAAAGTCCTGATTATTTTATTTTCGCTCAAATTAACAAAAAAATCCATTTTTTTCTTTTTACAGAAAATGATATATTATCGTGTAAAATCAATTAATCGGGACTTTCTGTTTAATTTTTTTTGGGACTAAAATGAAATTTTTCCGAAAATATTGAGACTTTTCTAACAATTTCCCTTAATAAAATCGAGGTTTCCTCAAAAGTGTGTCAATCTTCGGTATTCTAGAGAATAAACAACTTGTAAGTATTGTCTTTTCTATTTGTCCACACGTTACATCACAAAATTCATGTTTAGAAAAACTAGATTAACAATTCGATTTTTTTTAATAATGATTTAAAAGAATAACATATTTTAGATTGTATATATACTTAATAATTTATGTTTATATATATATATATATATATATATATATATATATATATATATATATAGTAATTTATGGGTTTTTTTTTATTATTTTTTATTTTTTTATACATATGACCATTAAACGTAATGATTATATGTGTACAAAGTAAAAAACATAAATGACTAAATATATAAAAAAAACATAAATGACACTAAATATGTATCCGATCTAAATTAGTAAATTATGTTAGCTTTTAAAGTATTATCCTATTTTTTTATTTTCATAGTACAAGTTTCTTGTTTATGGAATTAAATCTTACTAAAAAACTGGATAGAAAAGAATCTATAATAATAGAAAGTATGTCACATGGGAAGGCCAAGATCTTCCACCTTATGAAAGTCACCATCACATCCATTCTGTGAAACAGCAAGAACCGCGTTGATGCACGAAACAAAACAATAATTAATAATTACTTATAAAACTATAATAACTATTTAAAAGTAGCAATCTGAGTACCATATATTTTGTTGTTTAAAAAATATAGACAAAATCATTTCAAATGTTTCTTGTCACATCATCTTTTGGCTCCTCGTATGCATAAAACCATAATCAAGATTATTATAACGAATGTTAGGCACTGTATGGGAAGCTATAATATTTGTCTAACATAGATTATAAATGGTTTTTCAGCCATCCATCATTCCTTAAAATGATATTTAGATGGCATACATCTGACATATAGTTACAATTCTTATTTATTTATTAATTTAATTTTATATATTTTTTTTATTAAATTATTATTTATCCACCAAGGAAACATTAATTGCAAGAAGTTTAGATCGGTTATAGTTATGACTCTATCCGATTCACATACGTGTTCTTTCTACTACAGTGAGATTATAATTGAAATAATTTATTTTATTGAGCCATTGGGTGTACTAACCTTGCACTCAACAATGAGATGACATGGCCTCACGATGGTGTGTGAACACAACACCATGTGGTGAACACCAGTACGGTGAAGATTTTTGTAGGAGAGCCAAACCTCGTCCATTTTTCTCTCTGTTCCTCCTCCAATAACAGCTAGCCTAAGTATATATTTTTTATTATTATATTTTTAATTTGCACCACTATAAATATTACATCTTTTGCTTTTTTTATATCATATAACTTTCTACAATTTTCTATCATTATTCAAATATTTATTTATAAAAATAAAACCAAACAACTCTCCCACCAATCTTATCCCAAGATCCGGTTGAAACAAATCGCGTGAAAATGATTCAAATTATGAAAAATACTACGAGTAGACTTATTTTATATTGTTTTTTATTTAATTGTCATTTTTATATATTTAATGTTATTTATTATTGGATTTAATGACATATTTCCTATCAATAAGAGAATTGAGGGGAAGATGTGAGAAAATGACATGACGATGAGTTGGCAAAAAAAAAAAAATGAAAGGATGTGATAACACACACTCTTTGGCCTTAAGGATAGTGAGTTGAGGGTAAAGAAGTTCCTTACAAGAATTTAGAGTGATAATTGGGAAAAAAAAAATTCAAGAATAACACTTTTTGATGA